TTGTGAGGGGTGAAGGAAGAGGGACGGGGGAGGAAAATTCAGAGGATGAAAAAGCAGAAAACATACTTGTTTTGTAAAACGGTCAGCACGTCAGTTTCAAGAAAGACGTTTGCATACATAAAAAAGTGTATCTTACAGTTCCCTTTTGTGAGAGAATTACACACAAATCTGCAGAGTGTCACTAAAAAGTTGTAACACAGGGACTGACATTCTGTATGGGGTTTCACACGGACACAAAGTCTACTTCATTATCTACTTTGTCAGCTTTTATACACAAAAGTGTATCTTTCAGTAACTTTCTCAGAGAATTTAAGCATAAATCTGTCAAAGATTCTTAACGAAATCTACTTCATTATCTACTTTTCAGCTTTTATACACAAAAGTGTATCCTTCAGTAACTTTCTCAGAGAATTTAAGCACGTCAGTTTCAAGAAGACGACAATAATTAGTAGTTAGACATTTTTGGATATCGTGCGTTCTGGCAGTACTATTCCGGTCATTGGGAAACTTTTTGGGACCCATTTAAAACCATTTAAAAGAGAAATGTTCTCTGTCGTTCTTAATGCAAAAACAAATCATCTCTACTCCCTTTGGGGTGAAGTCCAGGAATGTTCTCGGGGGGAGTGGACACTTGCTGTTACATGCATAAAGCTTCTGCAGTGTGCCAATAAATGTATAGTTTCCCCTAAAGCTCCATACATTACACATATTGACTAATGACTCAGCACATGAGGGGTAAATACAAAACAAATCTAAATATCACCAATTATTCCAGAATGTGACTAGAATAGAGTCTAGAGAATGGACCCAGGCTTTGTCTTCAGCCATCAACTAAATAGGGGCGTGCTTTTTTTGAATCACCAGTATGTTACTCACCATTGAAGACAGTGTTGAGGGGGGCAAGCAAAGTGTACTCAGCGGCAGATTGCATGGAAGCAGAAAGGCCTGGCTCAGACACCATGTCTCCAAAGGTTGACTGGGAACTTCCAACCAGTTCCATCACCTGTTTAGCTTGAGGGAATTTAAACACCATTAAAAATATGGATTACAGAAAAACAATATATGTAGTAAATCGGGTAATCATTAATAAGGGGAAAATGTGCACGTCTAACCTGAGTCTGGCATGAGCACTTGATCAATAAGGTGGATGACAATGTCCTTCTTGAGCACCAGCTTGATGCCATTGACTGTTAAACTCTCGCCATCACAGCCTTGAAATCAAAGTAACGCTTCTAAAAAACATATATTTTAGAAAAGTAATGTTAGTCATGTCAAGTTATCAAGACTGCTGTGTTTCATCGAACAGTGTTAAGAGTCACAGTCTTTAAGAAAATCTGGTCAGAAAAAGTACTTAACTTTCTACCAGTTGTAAGTTGTCATATATATAAAAAAAAGTAAGAGACTTACTGTTTCCTTTGTGAGAGAATTACACATAAATCTGCAGAGTGTCTGTAAAAAGTCTCAAAATCTCCATTGAAATAGCGTTAAAATCAAAAAGTGCCTCTAAAGAAAATGTATTCAGATAAAAGTATTTTATTTTCAGAAATGTTTAAGGTTTTGCATACATAAAAAGTGTATCTTACAGTTCCTTTTGTGAGAGAATTACACACAAATCTGCAGAGTGTCACTAAAAAGTTTTACACAGGGACTGACATTCTGTATGAGGGTTTCACACCTGAGCTGCTGGGGGGAGGGCGTTGAAAAGGGGGTGAGTATGTTTGGCTCTCTGGTGTGTTAAGAGTCACAGTCTTAAAGAAAAATCTGGTCAGAAAAAGTACTTAACTTTCTACCAGTTGTAAGTTGTCATACATATAAAAAAAGTAAGAGACTTACTGTTTCCTTTGTGAGAGAATTACACATAAATCTGCAGAGTGTCTGTAAAAAGTCTCAAAATCACAAACTGCAGACGCCTCAAGGAGAGACTTGAAAAGATCCATGCCGAGTGGGGGGAGAAGAAGAAGACTAATAACCAGCAGTTGACTGAAGCCAGGGACTTGTTCGATACATTGACTTTTTTCTTTAAAGTAAAATAAAAATGGGAAACTACTATGCAAAACGCTCTGTATATATTGATCAGAATGTAGTCAATACCCTTTTAATAAGTGTGGTGATGAGGACGATTGAAAACAGAACGAGTAGTGACCCCTGTGTAAACAGAATGGCTGTAGTTTGTAAACTGGAAGACATTTTGGCTATCGTTCGTTCTGGCAGTACTATTCCTGGTCATTGGGAAACGATTGTAAACGAAACATTTAAAGTGGTCCTGGAATCTTCATTTTCCGAAACATTCTGTAACATTATCTCAGAAATGAAACAAACATCAAAAGTGTATCATGTGCTCTCAGTGTATGCTCTGTTTGTAGATGTAATGCATCTCTGTGCAGAAAGCAGCATACACATGAATATTCTGACTGAAGTGAAAAAACTCCATCACGATATCTCCAGTAATATGGGGAATTCTAAGCTGGAGACGGTCCTGCGGATGTTGCAATCAGTATAACTATTTGATTTTTGTGTGTGAAAAAATTAAAAAGTGTTTTTTTACATTTAAAAACTGTTGTCTTCATTATAGCCAGGGGGGAGCATGTCTCATACATGTGTATTACAGTCCTTCTTTTTTGTGTTTTTCAGTGTTTTTCTGTGTGTCTGTACACACAAAACACAAATCATTTAAAACAAACCCTGAATCAAATTTAGAGAGAATCTTAACCAAATCTACTAATACAAAGTACTTCATTATCTACTTTTCAGCTTTTATACACAAAGTGTATCTTTCAGTAACTTTCTCAGAGAATTTAAGCATAAATCTGTCAAATGTTCAAAACAGCCTTGCTTCACTGAAATAGTCTCAAAATCACAAACTGCCATTAAGAGTCAAATTCTTGACGAAATCTAATAAAACAGAGTACTTTCATGGTAGTGGGCAGCTTTTTAAAAAGAAAATTGTATCTTTCGGTACCCTTTGTTGTTTGAGAGAATTAAGCCTAAATCTGTCAAATGTTCAAAACAGCCTTGTTTCACTGAAATAGCCTCAAAATCACAAAATGCCTGCACACTGGAATGTGCTATAACAAATATGGCCCTCTTGGGCACTCTGGAACAAGGTAACGCTCCATGGAACGAGCAAACCCCCCATCCCTCTTGGATTTAAAACAGAGGGAGGGCACTGTAAAGACAAAGGATCAAACGTGGAGGGCAAAGAAAATCTAAAATCGACTTAGTATCAAAGAAATCATGTTTGAGTGCAAAACGTTTCATATTTTTCCTGCTAACCTTGAATTATCCTGTCCTGTCGTTTCGCTCACAGCTGTTTCTTACACATGACATGCATTGTTTTACAATGTATTACATAAGGTGAACATGTTTATGTGTTGCACAGGATATAATGGAGCCAAGTACGTATTAATAAAAAACAAATGCTAGCTAACTGACTTGCATGAATCAAAATATATGTAAACCTCTATTATCAGTCCATCCTTTATGTTCTGTTTTTTATTCCGTTAAAACCATCTTCTGTGTTTTTCTACCCTATTGAGCAAAATAACTTCCGGCGGAAGGGGCGGGGCTTATGAAGGGGGCTTATCCGGAAGTGGGCGGGGCTTAATAAGTAGGGAGAGGTGTGACCTGTCACACCACCTGTCACTTTCTATGCATACTAATGAGACGAAAGTGGTATGTGTATAACTACTCCCCTGGTTTAAACCATAACAATAACAGCACGAACTAAGACTAGACTGTACAGTTAACCCAAAAAGTGAACGTGATAACTCTAGGAAGTTTGTCTAAGATAAATTGCATGAAATTAAAGCAGATTATTTTGTGTAATTATTGCATCAGAGATGAGTTTTGCTGGTATTTTTGGAAACTGTTGATAACATTTTTCTTTCTGTATGGTGTATTTGTTTTAACATTAGAAATAATAAATAGTGTCTTCTCTTTTACTACACGTTCAGGGTTTCCTTCTCCCTTACGCTTTGACATTGTTCTGTTATCTCTTTGGTTTTTCTAACTTTATACTTTATTAATGCAGGAGGACTGTTCAGCATAGAGGGAGAGCTCTGTTCATTCAGGTCTTTACTTGGCCCTCCTCCTGTGATAGTTAGTTTGTATCTTAAATAATAATACAGACTAAGACGTTTTTGTTACACCACTTAAAATGAAGGCCTCACAACCTCCTTGTAAAGCTCAGGTGATCAGAGCCTTAACGGTACGTCCACACGGCGGCGTGCGTTGAAGCTCGACCAACAACCAATCACATGAATCTCCCGCCCCGGACACACAAGCACGCGGTTTGATTGGCTAGAGCTTATACTGGCATATGATTCGATTGGCTGACGCTTCCGTTGAAGCTTCAAAAGTAGAACATTGCTCTACTTTTGAAGCGAGCAACGCGAGCAAAGCGAAGCGACAGAACCACAATGCCGTAACGGCCCGTCCACACGGCGGCGTGCGTTGAAGCTTCAATGCTTCTGCCCATTCACTTTGAATGGGGGGTGACGTCACGCTTTGCCGAACTGCCTTGTGGTTCCGTCGCTTCGCTTTGCTTCGCATTGCTCGCTTCAAAAGTAGAGCAATGTTCTACTTTTTAAGCTTCGATGAAAGCGTCAGCCAATCAAATCATATGCCAGTACATGCTCTAGCCAATCAAACCGCATGCTTGTGTGTCCGGGGCGGGAGATTCATGTGATTGGTTGTTGGTCGAGTTTCAGACACGCCCGCCGGCAAGCTTCAACGCACGCTGCCATGTGGACGCTGCGTAAAAGGCACATGATGATTCCCAGATTAGATCATGTGTTGACAGGTCTGCCTAGTTTTTAAAAGGAAAGGGAAAATCCTTTCATCAGATAAAATCGACATAATATGTCAGTCTATTATTAGCCACACACAGTAAACCTAAAACAAACAAAACAAAAAGATAGAAAATATTTTAATGCCTAAGTTAAACAACACTTGAATAAAAACAGGACACATGACAATCACTGTCACAATGTAAGTCACCAGCCCTGTACAACATTCCTTATGAATTCCTCATAACACAGGTTGTCCAAACACTGCTGACTCACCATGTTGCTGACATGAAACCAAAACTAAGAAGAGAAGTAACCAAACTGCAGCAGGTGTAAATGAAACCGAACAATAACAATAACACAATCTTAATGCAGGACCTTAAGGTTTTTATTTAACTTCCAAAATGTACTATTTGTAATGAATATCATGACTGAGTGTTTCAGTATGGTGGCCCTTTCCTCCCTCGTTGGTAGAGGAATATTTCCTGTGGTGAAATAAATAAATGTCAGTTAAGGATATTTACAGTTACAATCAAACAGGATGAAAACGATACATCATCCTTCAGTTTAAATTATTATACAGAGCATAGAGAGAATAACTAAACGGATTGATTACAAAACGCTCAGGGTATGATGCCTAGTATTAACAGTATGAACAGTGTGAAATGAATAACATACAGGATAACAAAATAGAGACAGTTGGCAACATACAAACTGTAGATAAAAGCACAGGTATAGACGTTAAGATGTGAACACACAGGGAGATTTATACACTGAGGGCGAGAGCAGAACAATATAGAAAAAAGTTGAAATGCGTTTAATTTGACTTTCATTACAATTGTGATATATCTCACTATGTTGGAGGGAATGGTGATTATTTCATCATTAATCTTATTTTCATTGAATAATATATGAAATTGATCATGCTGATTGTTTTTGCGAGGATCTGTACCTAACTAAGATTTCTTAAAGGTCCCCTATTATATGGTTTTTTATCCATATGATATAGGGCTCAGATATATACAAAACATGTCTCTGAAGTGTTTGGCTCCAAACAGATAATTGCAGCATCCCATAATCCCCTCTGTTTCAGCCCTGTTTCAAAAGTGCTGATTCTCTGTCTGTTACTTTAGATGAAAATAAGGAGCCACTCCCCACGCCCCTCTGAGAGAGATTTGGTTAAAAAGAACACAATGGTGCTCTAGGAGGAGATGCAGGTGATAAGGTAGGGGAGGGGGGGGGGTTACCTGGTTGGTTATTTGCTAATGGTTACACAAGCCAAAATAACTCGGTGACATCATGAAGTGGCCAAAATCTGATCAGCTTATTTTCAGAGAGGATTTTATATAAATGGACAGAAAGTGAGAGAATCTTTTTTCCTGAAACTTTTAGAATCTCTTTATAGAGGGGACACATGTTGATGTAGAAGAGACATGAAAAAGTGGATTTTGCATAATAGGTGACCTTCAAAACCAATTATTCAATCCGCTCTAATGCATAAAATACATGTATTCAGTTTTTTTCTCACCTGGTGGTGCCACAAAATATTCTTCAACAGTGTGTTTGGAGAGCTGAAGCAGTTCTTCAGCACAGTCCCCTTCCGTCACTGCATCCTCCCTAAGGTTTAATGACCTGAATGGATGAAACAATATTTATGCAATAGGCTCAGTTTAAAACTGTGCTGCAGTTGGGGCTCATTTGATATAGCTGGGATGAGGAGGCCAATATACAAATACACTTGTTTTCATAACTGGTTGAACCTTACCTGTCCTCCAGAACTGAATCCATTGGTTCCACCCCTGAAGTGTCAACAGCATGAAGCTGATCTGCAAATCTGATGGCTTCCTCCAAACAAGCCAGTCCCTGTTTGGAGCGGAAATCCACCAGCGCCAGTCGCTCCAGTTGGTCCACCAGGTCAGCAGGGATATGCACAGGCTGTCAATTAAAAGTGTGTTGCATAAGAAATGTATGCATGACACATTCTTTCCCCAACATTTTAAGAATGTCTTTAACTGTTAGTAACCATTGAATAAAGTAATTGCCTCCATGAATCATTTCTAATCAGCACACACTGCCATGACTCATGCCCAATAACTCCACCTCTGGTAATCTCTGAAGTTTTGTAATGCTGAAAATATTGTGAGATGTTGTCCCTCAAAACTAAAGCCACACCTAAATATTATTTTCATAATCAATTAATCCACTGATTATCTTGTAGATTTATTATGTTCTCTGTAAAATGTCAGAGCTCAGCTTTAGGACATCTTCCGTCTCAGATTTGAGGCAAGAAAAAAGATCAAGAGTGGAGCCCCGGCCGGTGAGATCGACTCGGCTGCAGCTGCTCGATATGCAACCTTTGGGTGTGATCTTATATGGAAACAAAATTGAGGGTTGATGTGCTAAATAACAGGAAAATACATGTAAGGGTTTGTGATTGTGTGCTAAAATGCATCACCAATTGTGGGGAAATTACCTGTCCTCTATGTTCCTGTGTATTTCAGGTTTTTTTTTCACAGGTCCAGTGAGCCATATCTTCTACCAGCTGATGGAGGTGTGGATGCCCGCAACAGACCCGCTCTGCATAGTGTAGTGGCAATTTCTTATGTTACCTTATATATGGTAAAACCAAATGCTTCTACACACTACTGTACCATTTTTTGATATGTGCTGTTTTCTCTGCATGCCCTTATGAGGGTTATTATTCTCAAGCGCTTCAAGGCCACAGAGCTGATTTGGCAGACTATGTTGAAACTACTCCTCTTCACACAAAGTTTGAACTTCCATAGAATGTTTTCTGTTACACTCAAACAGCTCAAGGACACATGTGTCTAATAGCAATATGAGACATCTGTGTGAAAGCAGATTGCTGAGGCGTTCCGCCTAGCTACACAAAACTCTGTCTGCCCGCCCTATAAGCTTTGCCATTCTGTGACTATTGTGCACACTCCTGCTGTTACGGTGTGCAGGAAGCAGGACCCAAATGCAGATTAGAGTAAAAATAATTCCTTTATTTCAAGGCTAGATATACACAAAGACAGAACAGAACACTCACCGATGAACTGGTCATTACACAAGACAACCGGACAAAGAGAGACAGAAAACCCAGAACTTAAATACACCCAGGACTAATCAAACAAACACGAGACGGGTGAGGAGGGGGGAGAAAACACAGAGGCACCAGGTGAACACAATCGGGTAATCAGGGAGGGAAACAGACAAAAAGCAACAGGCAGGAAACGGGGGTGAACACTTTACAAAATAACACAGGAAACCAAAGATAGAAAAAGACAAGACAAAACAACAACACAGACAGATCCTAACAGTACCCCCCCTCAAGGGACGGATCCCAGACGTCCCAAAAAAAAAAAAAAATCCAAAACCTCAAGCAGGGTGGATGGAGGGGGTCCGGAGGAGGGACGCATCACTAAGCCACCAGGGTGGGTGGAGGGGGTCAGGAGGACGGGACTGAACTGACCGCCCAGGGGCACGGTAGAGGACCAGGAAGGGGTCTCGGGCGGACGGCCCGGGGGCAAGGCAGAGGACCAGGAAGGGGTCTCAGGCGGACGGCCCGGGGGCAAGACAGAGTCCAAGGTGGGGACCATGGAGGGGCGAAGGCAGCGGCAGGAAGAGTCAGGGGGGCCGGGCCCGAGGGCGAAGGCAACGGCAGGAAGAGTCAGTGGACCGGGCTCGAGGGCGAAGACTGCGGCTCTCAGGGGGCCGGGCTCGAGGGTGAAGACCGCGGCTCTCAGGGGGCCGGGCTTGAGGGCGAAGACCGTATCTCTCAGGGGGCCGGGCTCGAGGGCGAAGACCGGACAGCTCCGGAGGCCGGGCAGGAGCCGGTGTCGACCGGACAGGATCCGGAGCCGGTGGGACAGGTGTCAGCAAGATTCCCCACGGAAGAGGACCAGGAGTTGGCAGGACCCTCGGCAGGAGGGCAGTCGGCGGGACCCCCAACGGGACAGGACAAGGAGCTGGCAGGACCTCCGGCAGGAGAGTAGACGGCGGGACCTCCAAGGGGACAGGACAAAGGGTTGGCAGGACCCCCGGCAGGAGAGTAGTCGGCGGGGCCTCCAACGGCACAGGACAAAGGGTTGGCAGGACCCCCGGCAGGAGAGTAGTCGGCGGGGCCTCCAACGGGACAGGACACAGGGTTAGCAGGACCCCCGGCAGGAGAGTAGTCGGCGGGGCCTCCAACGGCACAGGACATAGGATTGGCAGGACCCCCGGCAGGAGAGTAGACGGCGGGACCTCCAACGAGACAGGGCAAAGGGTTGGCAGGACCCCCGGCAGGAGAGTAGTCGGCGGGGCCTCTAACGGGACAGGACACAGGGGTGGCAGGACCCCCGGCAGGAGAGTAGTCGGCGGGGCCTCCAACGGCACAGGACACAAGGTTGGCAGGACCCCCGGCAGGAGAGTAGACGGCGGGGCCTCCAACGGGACAGGACATGGAGTTGGCAGGACCCCCAGCGGAACCTCCAACGGACCAGGACATTGGGTAGGGACTTGAGACGTGACTCGAGAGGGGACTCGAGAGGAGACTCGAGAGGGGAACCAAGGGGGAACTCCAGAGGGGACTCCAGAGGGGAACTAGAGAGGGGACTCCAGAGGGGACTAGAGGAGAGACTAGAGGAGGGACTAGAGAAGGGAACTCGAGAGGGGACTCGAGAGGGGACTTGAGGAGGGACTAAAGGAGGGACTAGAGGAGGAACTAGAGGAGGGACTAGAGGAGGGAACTGGAGAGGGGACTGGAGGGAACTCGAGAAGTGACTAGAGGAGGGACTAGAGATGGGAGTAGGGAATTGACTAGAGGAGGGACTTGAGTAGGGACTAGAGATGGGACTAGAGAAGGGACTATAGGAGGGACTCGGGAAGGGACCAGAGAGGGGACTAGAGAACTGACTAGAGGAGGGACTTGAGAAGGGACTAGAGATGGAACTCGAGAGGTGACTCGAGAGGGGACTTGAGAGGTGACTTGAGAGGGGACTCGAGAAGAGACTCGAGAGGTGACTGGAGAGAGGGCTTGAGAGGTGACTTGAGAGGTATCTCGAAAGGGGACTCGAGATGGGACTCGAGAGGGGACTCGAAGTGGGACTAGAGGTGGGACTAGAGAAAGGACTAGAGAGGTGACTAAAGGGGGGACTTGAGAAGGAACTAGGGAAGTGACTAGAGGAGGTACTTGAGAAAGGACTTGAGAAAGGAATTGAGTAGGGACTAGAGAAGGGACTAGAGAAGGGACTAGGAAAGTGACCTGAGGAGGGACTAGGGAAAGGACTAGAGAAGAGACTAGAGAAGGGGCTCGGGAAGGGACCAGAGGAGGGACTAGAGAGGGGACTAGAGAGGTGACTAAAGGAGGGCCTGGAGAAGGGACTAGGGAAGCGACTAGAGGAGGGACTTGAGAAAGGACTTGAGTAGGGACTAGAGAAGGGACTTGAGAAGTGACTAGAGAAGTGACTAGAGGTGGGACTGGAGAAGGGACTAGGAAAGTGACCTGAGGAGGGACTAGGGAAGGGACTAGAGAAGGGACTATGGCAGCTGGGGCCGGGACTGGGTCTGGAACCATGGCTGCTGGGGCCGGGACCATGGCTGCTGGGGCCGGGACTGGGGCCGGGACCATGGCTGCTGGGGCCTGTACTAGGTCTGGAACTATGGCCGGAAACATGGCTGCTGGGGCCTGTACTGGGGCTGTAACCATGGCTGCTGGGGCCTGTACTAGGTCTGGAACTATGGCTGTAACCATGGCTGCTGAACTGGTTCTGGAACCCTGGCCCTTTGGGCTCGTGCTGCCAACCTGGCCTTGCGACTCCTTCCTTTAGGAGCCGTTTGGAGGCTCCGTGGACCTCCAAAGAGACGAGTACCAGCGAATGGCTCCTGGACTGTAGCAAACACTGGGTGAGAAGCAGGGGCTGACGCCAGATGGACCACACCGATGCGTGTGGTATCAAAACGGGAGTTGGGAGGCCTGGGGCTGTCAGGCAGGGGATAACACACCGTGAGAAAATCCAAAATCCTGCCCGATAAGAATTTAACCAAGCCTGGCTTCTCCATAGTAATCCGGCGTGCCTCTGCCAGAACAGCCTCTCGCTGCTGAACCCTGGACGCTCCCAACCATCGATACGAGCAGTCATCCAAAGCAAAGGAAAACTCCAATAGCTCCTGCTCAAAAGGATCTGCTGGGCCCATATTTTGGTCGGGTTGTAATGTTACGGTGTGCAGGAAGCAGGACCCAAATGCAGATTAGAGTAAAAATAATTCCTTTATTTCAAGGCTAGATATACACAAAGACAGAACAGAACACTCACCGATGAACTGGTCATTACACAAGACAACCCGACAAAGAGAGACAGAAAACCCAGAACTTAAATACACCCAGGACTAATCAAACAAACACGAGACAGGTGAGGAGGGAGGAGAAAACACAGAGGCACCAGGTGAACACAATCGGGTAATCAGGGAGGGAAACAGACAAAAAGCAACAGGCAGGAAACGGGGGTGAACACTTTACAAAATAACACAGGAAACCAAAGATAGAAAAAGACAAGACAAAACAACAACACAGACAGATCCTAACACCTGCAGACTACTCTGTATTCTGTGAGACATGTACCTTTCAAGCGCTTCAAATAAAGAACCAACGAAAGACAACTCTGATTTGCTGAAAGACCATTTATCGATCATTACTAGTACATCTCCATGGCAGATTATTGATAGATAAAGAAGTTTTCCACAACAATAGTCAAACGTCTGCTACTGGATCGGCTTGTTTTTGCCCCTGGCTTTCTGCTGATGTTATACTTTGTTATGAACATCCTGGAGGTAGGTCATCTCAGAAACTGTCCCCCTTACCATCAGATTAAAGGAGCTCGGTAGTGATTTGAGATGATCCGGCATTAAGTTGTGGGAATACACAATTGCAGCAGCAGAGGGAGCAATTGGTTTTAGTATGGTTGAAGGAGAAACATTTCAGGATACACTTCCTGTCATGCAACATGAAAGCATATTTTCAATAACCCAGTTAGTCACAACAGTTTTTCTTTTCAAATTTGTTTGC